ATAATGTATGGTCTCCAAAATTATGAACACCTGCCAAATTCCAAGCTAATCGGAGTTATGGAATTTTTGTTGAAATAAAAAAAATGGCTGCTCCAAGATGGCGGACAAGATTTGGTCCGATTCCATTGAAAATTGGTAAATGGGAGTTTTTGAGGTCGGAGATCATGATTTTCTTGTTGAAATTTATAAATTCAAGATGGCGGCTTCCAAATAATTTTTTGTTTTGTATAAATGACGATAACTCCATTGTTATCAACACAAAACTATTACTGCGACATATCATTGGTAAGAGAAAAAAAAGTTATTTGTAACTAAGTCATAGTGAGCTATGACCTACATTTGAAAAACTAAAGTTGGTGCTGATATCTCAAATTCTAGAAGAGTTGGTATAAATTTCATATTTTTTTCGAAATCACTTCAAAAAACTGCCATGAGAATGTGGAATTAATATTTGAATATTTTCATGAATAAAGAAGTTACGGAGGAGACATGAAAATGACCAAAATCTGTTTTTTGCGTATAAAACAAAAACGAATAGATTTTATCGAAATATTTTTTCACATTATAGTTGGCCTAGACAAACTACACATTTGGTGTCATTTAACCAACCTCGTATCTCTCACCGTTGAAAAGATACCCATGGTGAGCATGGTAAGTGGGACACACTGTAGATAACTAATAATATTCAACGAATGTTGTAAAAATTGACTCGGCCGTTGGGTGATGAACATTCATAGTAATTGAGAAAACATTTGACGGGAGAGAACAACTATCGCAACCAATATTTTAATAAATACTCACGAAGTCTTGAAAGTTACTAATTCAACGAACACTTTATACCCGATCGACCACATCATTCGAATGAAATCAAGAAAAAACAACGAGTTAGTAATTTTTGGAACATTTCAGTTATTTAGGTTTATCAATGCAACAGCTGGTGTGTACTCGTTTTTAATAATCAATTTTCCCACCGAGTGAGCTGATAAGATGGTCAGGAATACGCGATCAAAACGGGTACATACCTGGAAATCACTGATGAATAATACATATTATACGGCACAGTCAGAATCCGAGAGAATGTTGATAGCGCATAGCACGAACAACATAATTTTTGTAGAAATCTTGAACAGAATTCAGTTTTCGATACTGAATGCAAAATAATACACGATAATACTGTGGAAAATCATGCCTTGTTATTTTTTTCAAGAGGCTTCTTCTTGGGGTTTGGATTTAGGTTTGAAAGAAATCAAGTTGGGTCAAGTTATAAAAACGTTTCGATGAGGTTTTACAATTTCAATTATTTTCAATCCTGCTGATCTCATTTGTTTTTGGATGCATGAATAAATTGATATTCATAATACATATTGGTAAGTTATATTTTTATATCATAATACATCATATTATTTTATCCGATTTGAGAGATAATGTCAATTCGCAATTTCAGAGGATTTTCATTTTTCATGCCCTCTTTTTGGATGTTCAACAGATATAATTCAATGTTCGACATGGCAAATAGCCAGGAAAGTAGTGGTTTTCTGTTGAATAGACCGAGAAATAATTGATATTTTCATCACATAGAGAATGCGAATTCTCAATGTATTTCTTCATATACAGTGTCATTCATAAAGTCGGAATCATATGGGAAAAACTTTTATTAATGACTTATTTTGAAATTCGAGTTGGACGTTCTGCTTCAAAAAAGATGAAAAATGGTCTACTCAATCGGGGTCACGTGACTTTCCCTACATGTCAAAAGTGAAATTTTTTCAAATTAATCGCTGAAAGTAGGCTTATTTGTTCGAATATCGAAAAAGTTTACTTGAAAAAGTTGTTTCTATTTCAATTTTACACATGCTTCCCGAATTTGATCTTTCTATTGCAACTTTTAGATTTTGATTTTTTTTTTAATTTTCCGAAATTTCTGTAATATTTGAAGAATTGTTAATTCCACGAAACTACTTCATACCAATAGCTTTTTCATGCTACTTACTTTCAATTATTTATAATCACTGATTATGGACAGAAATATGATTTTCTTCAGAAAATGATAATACCCGCTTCCAAACTCTGTTATGTTTGATGCAAAGTTGATATGTCGTCAAGCATTTAGAAACGAAATTCATTTAAACTGATCTTTTCAGTACTGAAAAAATAAATTTAAATGAATTTCGTTTCTGAATGCTTGACTCAGACATAACAGAATTTTGATGTTATGTTTGCATCAAACATAACAGAATTTTGAAGAGGAGATTATCATTTTCTGAAGAAAATCATATTTTTGTCGATAATTAGTGATAATTAGTTATTGAAAGTTAGTAACATGATGAAGCTACTGGTATGGAGTAGTTTTATCGAATTTACAATTTTTTTAATATTACAAAAATTTCGAAAATATTTAAAAAATATCGAAATCTAAAAAATGTAATAGAAAGAGTCACATAAATATGTAAAATTGAAATAGAAACAACTTTTTCAAGTAAACTTTTTGTTATTCGAACAAATAAGCCTACTTTCAGCGATTAATTTTAAGAAATGTAACTTTTGACATGTAGCTCAAGTCACGTGACCCCGATTGAGTAGGCCATTTTTCATCTTTTTTGAAGCAAAACTTGACGTCCAACTCGAATTTCAAAATGAGTCATTAATAAAAGTTTTTCCCATATGATGCCGACTTTATGAATGACACTGTATATCCATATATTCATTTTTTTTATGTTCATAACTATATCTGAGAATATTTTTCAATACAATAAGTACAGTCAGAAATTAGAGCACTGGAATGCGTCGAAACCATTTTTGAAACTGTTCATGTTTGGAGCTGTCAAAACGGCCTCTGGGAGCGAACTCCATAACCCAAATAATCTATTATCGAAAAACTTTTGCCTAACGGTGGACTTTAATTTTCCCGTTTAAGCTTCATTGTATGTCCTTTCAGCCTGGGGTCCTTGTTCAGCTCAAAAATATCAGCTCAATTGTGCTCAATTCAGCTCTTTTCTACCTTGAACGAGAGATGGAAAAGTTCTCTCCTCTTCCATCTTTCTCTTCAGTGCTGCCAACCTGGCCGCATTGAAATATAAAGAGATCCGATAAATCTCTCCTTGTCTAACCTCTAGCTGCGCCACTGAACTATTTTCGATGTTATTCGCGATAGAAAATAACACGTCACTTCACCTGACGGTAACAACTTGAACTCTGGGTACAAACAAAAAACAAATGTGAACCAATGAAAACAAAGTACACATGCCGCTTTGACAGCTTTCAAGAACTCCGATAGGTGGCGTACGCTTATTTTCTATCGAGAATAATGATATTCTTTCCTTCTGAACTGACATATTTCACTTGGACTGAACTGAATGCATTCTAACTAATCAAATTCTTTCGAAAGAACACATAATAACTGATTCTGTTCAGTTCTAGTGAGATATTTCAGTTAGTTCAGATTATAATGATGTGATGTGTCTATGTTATAAATGTCATTGACTGATAACCTTTCAAATTTTTGAAATAAAATTACAGAGTATATCATACTTATTTTGACATCTTTTGTTAATAACGTTAATTTGACACTGTTGAATTCAACAATAGTTCTGTGGCAGAAACTAGATGTTAGACACGGAAAGATTTATCGGACCTCTCTATATTTCAATGCGGCCACGTTGGTAGCATTGAAGAGAAAGATGGAAGAGAAGAGAACTTCCTTCTCTCTCGTTCAAGATAGAAGAGCTCAATTCGCGGTTACCAAGGTCATCATACTGACGATGTGATGAACTATGGAAAAACATTCTTAAATTCCTGGCTTAGATTGGAAGTTAGACATGTTTTCCAGTAGTTTTTATGTTATCCCAACCACAGAATAGAATGGTGAAGCTTGGAATTCTTTGCCAAAGGAAATATTTTCATGAAATAATAATCTTCACAAGTTCCGAAAAAAATTCCAATACCTACCTTATCTCCTTATCCTCCCTAGGTACGCACAATGCTCTCCGAACATTTTAATGATTTCCTTTCGTGCGCGCCAAGAGAAAAAAAAACAAAAATCAGAAAAAATCATTTCTGGGTAGACTGATAATAATAACAACAACAATAATATTAATTTCCGCACATCTATATATTCAGTCTGCAAAGATTTAACGTTTTTGTCGAGGTTTTTGTACTTTGGAGATTAAGGAATATTGTGTTTTAATCTCTGTACCTTGAGTATTTCCTAATCATTTATAACAGGTCCTGAATCTTGATCCATTATCTGTTATGATTGATGTTAATATTCTACAAATTGTTAAAGTACTTATTGTTTGTAACATATTTGAGAAATCTTATACTATTTCTATAGGATGACTAGTCTGGAAAATTTGCTTGTTGAATCTTGTACCTATTCTTCCACATGTTTGCCCAATACACAGTCACCAAAAATTCCATAAATATATTACTCATCAATAGTGTTCATTTTGTATTTAACACCCTGTATCCCCCAAACAAAGGTAGGTTATTGGCCAGTAGTGGTGGGAGTGTGGAGGAGAGTAAAAAATAAAACTTCCAATTTGTTACAAACACTGAAAACATCATACTAATATCTTATTGCTTTTGTTTTCATTCTCAGGGGATACTATTGCCCCAAGAGGGTATTATCTCCAGGAAGGGTGACCTCCCTTATCAACATTTCACTAATGACAAGTCAGAATGAGTTCCTATGATTGAAGAAGGAAAAATACTCTATAGATATTGAATTTCTTTATGTCCTAACCAATCTTGATAATTAATACTAAACTATTAATCATTACATTCAAGAGTACTCAAGGAGTACTTACCTACCAATCAACTAGGTAGGAACAAACTCACATTTAATCTAAAAATTCAACAAATATTTTAAAATGATATAGGTTAATTAGGACAATCATTGGTACTTTGATTCTAGAATATAAAAACTTGTTTCTGAGGTAAATTTGAGACTGATTAATCTACCATCTTCATTAAAATACTGAATAGAACTCCATAGAACTTACTTGATTATATTATAATTTCCTTCTGCTATACTGACATCCACATAAGACAGGTCATCTGGTACTTTCACTACTGAACCATCAATCTTTTCTATTAGAACTTTGAAATTTTCGAAGTTTTGAGCTGTTTTTTCGACACCATCTAGAAAAAGGACCATTTGGTTAATGATTAAATCAACAACAGCTTTCCACTCATAGAAGAAAGTCTCGAAGAAAGTTGAGAAAATTTACCTTTGAGAGAAAATCGTACAATACTATCCATTGGCACAATTGTGGATTCAAATTTCCCGTGAAATTGGTTGATTTGTGTTGTTGCTGGGCTTGGATGATTAGATTTCAATTACACCAATTCACAATATATTTCAATAAAATGATATCTTTAAGAGGAAGGTATTTTTTAAAACTTTTGAAACAAAGGAATTATTTATCTGCACAATTATCTGATTATTCTATTTGGCTAGGCATAAAGAGGTTACTGACATTACACTTGCACTTCAATTTATTAAGAAAATATAAGAAAACTTGTATATTTTAAAAATTTTTATAAATCATGTCATAAACGTTGTTATTGTTGATTGTGTTGAAGTTTGAATTGAGGTTGGCATTGCTGTTTGTCATTAATGTCATATGTCAATTCTGTCATATCACTTCTTCTTCTTTTTATTATAATGACGTCATGCTTGACATTTCATATCAAACCAAAACACTCGAATCAGCTGTTGGTTCTGTCACTTCCTGTTCACGTTTATTAGTTTATATTTATATTTTTTGTAAAATAATCAATTAAATAGTATTGAAAAATGACCAAACTTCAAGAATGGCTTTCTGGTGGTGGCATTTTGTTTGCTATATGGTTTTACCTCATTACTAGTAAAGATAACAATGATTTTATAAGAGACAATTATGAGTTGATACTGTACTCACCTATTATTTTCATCATCCTATTTGGGGTATGTGCACCTATCATACTAAAAATTTCAATTGAAAATACTTATTTTCCATTATTTCAGTTATATGCAGCTACCATAGTTCTTTACAGGGTATACACATTCAATGATTGTGAAGAGGCAGCAGTGGAACTTCAGAAAGTATGTAATTTAATTTTCTTCTCATCTAGGGTTGTAATTTGATTTTATGGAAGCCAATGAAGCTGAGCTCTGCAGAAAAATTGCCATTGTGCTTATGCAGAGATATGCTGTTTCCCCAATAATGAATGAGAACAGTATTTAATGTAAAATATTCAATGAAGCATTGATATTTTTTTTCAGGAAATTGTAGAGGCAAAAGAACAACTGGTGAAACTTGGATTCAAACTCCAAGAAAAATCAAAGTGAAGATCATTCCCTCACATGTCATAAGACTGAAGTACTCCTTGCTTCATGCTATGTATCTGTATTCATAGGTAGATTCATAGTTTGAATAATCTTGTTGCTGATTGATGTTGTTTGATGATTGGTATTAAAATAAAACATTCCTAATTCCCTTTGTTTCTGATTTTATCAGATAATTTTGATTATTTTCTTCCAATGATTTTAAACCTATCATAATGTTCTCAAACTTCCTGCACAATTATAAATCATGTCAGTTTAACAACATAATCCTCCTGCTTTGATTGGATTATTTGAACTGTTAACTGACACTTTAATTATGCAACAATAAGTAATCAGAATAAAGTGGAAAATTGTTATCATAGTCTTTATTTATAAATTGCAAGTATAAATAATTTTTAAAATCTGAATAAGATAATTTAGAATAAAGAATTTTTCGGCTTGCATGTACAATACAAAGGATGAATGACTCTACAGTTTGGATTGTGAACAAGAAAATCCTCTATTCCTTGTTTGGAAACGCTTGTATAAGTCAAGTCTATCAACTCCAAATCTATATTTTTCAAATATATCAGCGTGACATCGGTGATTTTTCTATAACCCCTCAGTGACAGTCTTCTCAAGGGTATTTTGAATTTCAATCGCCTGCGATCCTGTTCATTAAATATCACATAGTTCCTATTATTGTGGGGATCCACTCTGAAAAACAGAACAAAAAATTGGAACCTAGGTGAATAATATGATGTGATGAAATAGTTCAATATAATAATATAATGGTTATTTACGTCCGATTGAGACGTTTATAATTCCTCTATTCCTCTGGTGTGCCCACTCTTCAATTGTTTCCTCAGACTAAAACTCTCGATATGAACAATTGAATGCGAGTTCGGAACGTAGGGTTCTTATATCCGATGATAGATGGCGTGAACGATAGACAATTTTTTGAAACATTTCAAAATGCGTTTCGAATCTTATTATGAAGTTGAACTAGACTTTCAAGGATGTGTTTTTCTTCTTTCGGGACCCGAAGAGTCCTGTTGGTGATGCACGAATTCAATAATTGCTTAATTGGAGCATCTAGAGACAGGGCGTAACAGACAATCCGTGCGGAAACATCTTGATATTGATCTTGATCCGTTGATCATGATTCGACATATCTGTCAGGAGTGTCACGTTTTCGGCATATTCATGATTTTGTTCAAATTTTAAATAGAACTGTTTATTGAGCAGTTATTGGTAGTGTATAAGGTAGTCGAGTGAGTGAAGTGCTTTCATCATGGACTGACCATGCTGCGATGTGTATGAGGATTATGTGAAAATCCGAACATTCGTTTCATTTCATGTACCTAAAGTGAGTAAATGAACTATAATCACAGAATTTTCTTTTGTGAGGACATCGTATCGTTGATGAATGATGCCTGTAAATTTGGTTTGAAACTTCGGGAAATTAGCAAGATTCTCCCACGCCATTTTTACAAAGTAGGCGATATCGAGAGATTCCGAAACTCCTTTCAATAGGAAGCGATAACACCATTTGACTTTCTATACATCTATAGTCCGATAATATATATTTACGATCTAAGTGTTCAAAAGATTCATTTTATGATCTAAGGTGGAGAATTTGTCAAAATAACCTATTGATTTAAAATTTAAGTGTTGTTCTAAGGAATTCATACCATCAAACCTCAAATGAGTTGATAATTGTCGAAGTGACAGACACAGCGTTACTGTCATTTTCGATTCAGTGGAATTGCCACAATGTGATCTAAAACTTCCAGCTATAGGCATACGATACAGATGTGTTATTGCCAACGAAGTCTTAAGAATGGTATGAGAAGCTATACACGCGTTTTATTGAATGGTGCAACAATGAAGAAATGAAAATACCGAATAAAGAAAAAGTATTTTTGGCTCATTTCCTAGAAGTGTCTGAAACCAAGAGACCAAACACCTTATGGGCCTGCTGGCTTCCGCAATGAACCTACATAATGCGTCAAACTGTAAGTTCACAATAGCTATTACTTATAATCAGTAGATAGAGGATATATTTCTCTTGTTAGTTCTTCCTTTATCCATGAATAATTGATTGAACAAATCAATCAATTTCCTACGCTTGTAGAAAAAATATTGTTCCTAACTCATGCGGAAAGTGTCTTTCCCGCACTCGACTGCTTGCCTGAACTCCGCTTCGCGTCGTTCGTGTCAACGGCAGTCGCGTGCGGGAAAGAATCACTTTCCGCACTTGTAAGAAAAATTACTATTTCCATAATTTCATTTCATTATTACACGCAGGCCCACAGTCCGGCAATGTATGATAGTGGTCTGATGTGAATGTGAATCCATGGAAGTGTACAAAAAACGGTCAGCTGAATAACTACACCTTTTCTGGTTGTATTTCAGATAGCGTCAATTTAATTTTAGGAAGCGTCAATTATATGTCAGAATGGTCACTTGTATTTCTGCAAGTATCAATTATTGTATTTCAGAATGATCAATTGAACTTCAGAATTGTCAATTGAATATCAGGAAGCGTCCATTGTATCTCAATTGATATTTTCTGAAATACTAATGACACTTTCTGAAATTCAATTGCCTATTCTGAAATGCAATTGACGTTTTCTAAAATACTAATGAATATTCTGAAATAAAATTGACGCATTCTGAAATTCATTTGACTATTCTGAAATACAATTGACGTTTTCCAAAATACAAATGACTATTATGAAATACAATTGATGGTTTCTGAAACACAATTCGCGATAGAAAATAAGCGGACGCCACCTATCGGAGATCTTGAAAGCTGTCAAAGCGGCCTGTTTACTTGGTTCACATTCGTTTTTTGTTCGTGCTTATTGGTCACATCATCAAAACAAACCGCTCCGAGGTGTTCCAGTTGTTGCCGTCAGGTATGGCGACGAGTTATTTCCTATCGCGAATTGACGGTATCTGAAATTGAATTGACACTTTCTGATCTACAGCTGGAGAAGATTCTTCGGCGATTTTGCGACTTACCTCCAACCGGCCGGTCCACGGCCGCCTGACCGATCGCCCGCCCCTCCCCCATCCTCCCGAACCGGTAGAGCCCCAAGCGCCGCCCCCCTACCTGACCCTGCCACTCTTTTCGATTCCGCCCCTCTTCCCGACTCCGCCCCCTTACCTGACCCCGCCCCACTTCCCAACTCCGCCTCTCTTCTTGATTCCGCCCTTTTACTTTCCGACCCCGCCCCCGAGCTCAGTGACGAGCTGCTGTAGTCGCTAGACGTCGAGCATTCCTCGTCGCCGGACATCGATACCTCGAAGATCACTTTCCTGGAAAGTGATTGATTTAGAGATAACTGTGTTATGAAAAGATTCATTAGCAGAAAAATTGAATTTCAAATTGTAGAATGTAGTCTTGAATGAATTATAACGATCAATAATGTTGGATTTCAATGATTTCATTTGCTGGCGAGTTTTGGGTTGCACGCCTTTTCCCAGCTCCGGCTCCTTCCTGACTCCGCCTCTATTTCTGACTCCACCCTTCTTTTTTCCGACTCCGCCCCAGAACTCAGTGACGAGCTCTTGTAGTCGCTAGACGTCGAGCACTCCTCGTCGCCTGACAACGATACCTCGATCACTTGCCTGGAGACTGTAAAATGAAGTTTTCAATAAACTATAACGTAAAGTACGATCTCTAATGTTGGGTTTCAATAACATAATTATTTGCTGGTGAGTTTTGGGGTGCGCTCCTCTTCCCGACACCACCCATTTTCCCAACTCCGCCTCTCTTCCTGACTCCACCTCTCTTTCTCACTCGCCCCCACCCCGAGCTCAGTGACGACCTGCTGTAGTCGCTGGACGTCGAGCATTCCTCGTCGCCGGACATCGATACCTCGAAGTTCACTTGCTTGGATATGGATTGACCTTGAGATAATTGTGATATACAAAATATCATCAGCAGAAAAATGAGATTTCAAATAGTAGAATAAAGTTCTGAATAAATTATAACATGAACGATCACTAATTTTGGATTTCAATGAATTGATTATTTGCTGGTGAGTTTTGAGCTGCGCCTCTAATCCTCATTTCGACTCCGCCTTTTTTTCCGACACCGCCCCTTTTCGTGACTCCACCCCCGAGCTCAGTAAAGAGCTGCTGTAGTCGCTAGACTAAACGTCGAGCATTCCTCATCGCTGGACATCAATACTTCGAAGATCCCATGCCTGGAGATAAATTAACTTCGAGATAATTGTGATATAC